CAAGCGTATGAGTCTTATTTTGTATTGTTTATCGTGAACGGTAGATACTTTCATCGTGACCTCTAAGAGCATTTTTCGTCAGCAATTGATGTGCTGTGGCACGGAATGAGTTAAGGATTAAAACCATCATCATCATCATCATTTCAGGTGCAGTTTCATCTACTAGATATTGAGCTTCTCTTCAACCTGGAACAATTCATCACTCGCCTGTCCACATGTGAAATCTTTTCATCCATTCCTCAGCTTTCCCCTGACTTATCACTTTGCTGAATTATTATTCTTCAGTTCCTTATTTTAGTTCTCGCTCTTTGACTTAACAATTGGGTCACAGATCGATATCTTTTAGGGCAGTATACCAGTAGAGTTGCCATGCCAGAGTGTCACGGTATTAAGTAGGCTTTGAGGTTCTCAAAGCGATGAGTATGAAGATTTCTGTCTTCTGGGTTGTTGTGCTGTGTAGTCTGGTCGATGTTTACCAACGTTTCAGAGGCCCTGATGACGGAGGTAAACATCTACCAGACTACACGTCACTACAACCCAGAAGACAGCCATCTTGTTGCAGTATTATCCTCTGTTCTTATTATTCTCCAAAATTTTAATAATAACCGCCTATAAATAATGATCATAAGGAATCAGTTTTATCATACTGTTGTGTTTCGCGGCTGTTTAAAACTACCCTCAGCGTGACCCGGTTCAGAGGTCTGCAAGAGCCCGGGCCTGGTACAGTCTACGACTGTAATCTTGAGACTGCGGGGTGTGGAAGTGGGGTGAAGGAGGAAGGAGGAGAGATAGCGTCTACCTTTAACGCTACGGACTTCCTGCATTCCTTGCAAGTCTCAAGATTACAGTCGTGGACTGTACCACAGACATTGTTCTGGTCTAGGCCTAGTTCAAATGATAGCAGTCATTTCAGGTTTTCTCGGGGTCATTATTTTTCAAAATATAAAGGCGTTTGTAGTTACACTTACTCTATGCTTGTGACATAGTCGGGCTCTGGAAACATATATTACCACCGACTTGATTTTCTCGGGGATTTACGTAGCTGTCCTCTCCCAGAAATAGTACGAAGTTGGCATCCCATATCTTTGTGACGTTCAGCGAATGTCAGAGTAACCTCGGATGTTTTAGAGCTTCGTTAAACAATTCACTCAAGGATTACTGGCACTTGTGCATTAAAATAAGCGTGTATTAATGACACGACAGTCAAAGTAGATTGTAAATAGATCGGGATAAAATGAAATTAAGTCAGGCTTAGGTGTGTTTTGGGTAATATACAGTATGTGAAGAAGATATGTTTCGGGTTTGGGCTGGGCCGCGCAAAATTAAAAAAAAAATCGGCCTGTTCAGACATATAACCTAGTTAGCGAACTTTAAAATAGGCGCCTGCCTCCTACGAATTTACGTTCGGTTCAGAATTTGTGACCACCTGAACGCGGACGAGTACAGCTTTACTTGCATGAACATCGACTGTCGAATTGTGAGCTGCGAAAAGAAATAGTTTAACAACAGTTCGTGATAGCTGACCTCCCTTCTGTCGCCTCATATTTCACTATCAATGAATCCTAATCATTTGCTACACTGGCAGTTGGAAACAATCGCCAGTGGCGTTGTATCCTACGCGTTCAAGTTTCTTGATGGACAACTGCATTAACGGTAAGACAGTCTGTGACTGTAAACGCTTTGGGGTCATCAACCTGCGTTGCCCCTCAGTGCATATCCTTCCTCTAATAGCGCAATGCCATAAAGAGGAATACATTTTGTAGATATGAAGTCAGTACGTGACTCGGAGCCTGGCAATGCATGTTTCTGGAACCATAACATTTAATGTTTTGTATAGTATTGCTGATGTATTGAAGAACTCAGGGTGGTTATGTAGCGGTAACTTTACTAGTACTTAGAGGCAGACGAGTCGAATCTCTGGCTGGGCTACCCTCCATCCTGAACAATTTCGTGGTTTTCGAGGTATTCACGCGAATACCAGAAATGTGTATTGAAATAGACAATGGCCGCTTCCTTGCAAATCCCTGAGCAGTTCTCCCTTCTCAACAATGTACAATCGCTTCAGTTGGGAAAAGTTAGGAAATGTGTATTCTTTGTACACTGACAATCCGATTGTGTTCTTCTTGATGTCACTAGGACGACCAAGGTAATTCATTATTAAATTGTGAAAAAGGATACAATTGTATCTCAGGTCACTGTTGCACTAATGTAATCCGAGGTTTATTCTTGAAATGTATGAGGCAACAATTACTTCTGTTTACACTTTTTAACATCCACCAGCAACGATCCCGGTATTTCATTGTTGCAACAATTACTTCTGTTTACACTTTTTAACATCCACCAGCAACGATCCCGGTATTTCATTGTTGCAACAATT